TAGATAAATTATACACACGTTTTTCAAAATTCAATAATAAATGGTATTATTTTTCTTATAATAAATCGATTTAATCGAAATTATATTTCTATTCTAAAATAAACATATTCACACTATCGCCATCTTGTAGCCATCACAGTAACCAATAAAATAAATACAGATTCCTTATTTACTGAACTGTTTAAAGAACAAATCTGTGGTTATTTACGCAATATTTTGTTTATTCTTTTTCTATGAGTTTGTCTATTTTATGATTTTTTGTAAGTGGTTTATTCTGTGGGTTTAGTTAATTGAACTTGGTGATTTATGTGAATTTAGTCATTATGGATATTACGGTGAGAAATTGTTTTTTTAAGTGTGGTTTAAAAAAATGCTAAAGACAAAAAAGTTATATTTTTAATTGCTTAGCCTAAAAATAATATTAAACTTACAATAAAGCAGTACCGTACCCAAATTTTATTTTTAAATATTTAGTTTGGATGCCCCAGCGACGTCTCTGTATTAACTAAATTAAATTACACTACTAAAAATCTAAGAAGCTTTATTAAATTTAATCAATTTTTGAATAAATAAAAATGTTTGAATAAGTAGGTATCTCGAATATTCCGATTAAAATCTGTCAAAACTGGGTATCTAATTTTTTTTAAAGTGAAAAACAAATTATATAATACAAATGCAACTTTTTTTTGTAAACGTAGATAGTAAAATGATCTATTTTTAAGTGTTAAATAAATCAATAAACGATACCTATAAATATTGATAAACATTTATAATTTTATTTGCATCAGTTTCGTACTCACTTAAAAGTACATGCTTGAATGTATTTTAAAATTAGTTTTAAAATAATTACTACCAAAAGTTAATTTAAATTTTTTGTGGCCTTATTTTAATTATATTTTTGTTTAATGTACTTTAATGATTTCATACTTCCCACTATTTGCCATGCACAATGCAACATTAGATGAATTTTTAAAATTGTACCATTGTTATGGCTAACTTTTTAAAAGCTACCACCTATGCATTTCAATTGAGTAATTGTATTTCAAAGCAGGTTACAAAAATATGCCTGTACAGGAATTAATTGTATTACAAATCACAAGACTGAGTCCTAATTTAGGACCCCTAGTTAAGTAAAACAATTTATTTACCGTAGACTCAGAAAAAATGTACATGCACAAATAATGAAACTAATTTTGTAAGCGATTAATAAAATAATATTATTTAACTTAAATTTAAAATTGTAATGGCTATAAAAAATTGTCAAAGTATTATTATTTTTATTTACAGAATAAACTTTTTTTACTCTTAATAAAATTATCATTTACTATAATAAAGCAGCAATGTTGAGCTTTTATTAAAAAAATGTTCATCCAACAAAGTAATAGTTGTTATCATATTGTCATGGCAATAAAAAATACTTTAAGTTTATATTAAATCTTTGTCGAACTTAAAATGTTTTTGTTAAATCTCCATAAAATAATGCGCAGTTGTTATAGTAAAATTTAATCATTTTGTCTTTTTAAATTACTATCGATGAAATTCATAATTTTATTTCAGTTAGAAAATCTTTGTTAATATCTTACGTTAAGAACAATAACAAAAATATTGAATTGCTATAAAAAGACTTTTTTAATATTTACCATTGTTTTGCAATGGTAACAAAATTTTTGTTATTTCCCTTAAAAAGGGGGGGAAAGGGCCAGCGCTCTCCTTGGTGAACATAACTTTATAATCTCTCAGTCTGTGTTATAATCTTATTGATTTCAATTGTGCGAGTGAAGTGTGGTAAAATCTAGCATGATAAAAATATCAAAAAGATCACTAAGAAAATAAAAATTTCAACGTTTTATAAAAGAAATATTTAAGGTCTATTCAATAAACGAAGCAGACTTGTTGTTTAAAAAGTGAGTTCATATTTTTTTTATTTTGTACATCATATAATATGAGTTAATTTTTGTGTTATAATAAATAATTTGTTTGAATGTCTTGCAATTATTTAAAAAAAACTACCCAACACCCAACAGTAGGTTGAAAATGTGACCATTGTTACAATGAAAAAAGTTTATTGAATTAACAATTAATTTGTTGTTAAATTTACATAAATTTTATTAATATTAAATAATGATTTACAACTTTGTTAACTCTTCTATATTAATTTAAAAAAGTACCTATATATTTTTTTTAAATTATTTCTTTTAGGATTCATTATCACACAAAATTCACAACATATAGGTTAATATATAAAGCTGTATTGAGACTATTTTTTCTATGCAGGTAACAATGAAAACTGCAAAACCATCACTTTTTTAACCAGTTTATGAATAAACGTTAATTTACCAGCGAGTTAAAATATATTTGGTGAAATATAACTGTGGTTAATTCACCAAATAGTAATACCAAAAGTTAAACTAAACCAAAATAGGTCTAAACAAATGTTCAAAGGTTAAAATTAGAAGATATGTAACTGAAGGCACAAACACTTCTTTTAATGGTCTGCGCAGCACAAAATCACAAAACAGACTGCGCGTGTTAGTAAAGAGAGAAATAGAAGGTATACTTTTTTAAATTAAAAATAAAATGTAATGTTTTTGACGAAATGTGACAGTTTCTTATAATTTTTTAGATCATAAATTAACCCCCTTTAAATAAAAAACACTTACTAACAATAATTGGAGAACTGAACACCGACCATCAAATATAACAATATGACACAAAAGGATTACAAAATATTATCAAGGGGGGTTGTTAGGGGAAGGAGAGGGGGTAAGAAGGACAGTACAATAGGTTACATGATAACAGGACTTGTATGTAGCGTATAGCGTAGCAACCTGTTGCGCAAACTCTCCAATGCCCACTAATTGTTTATAAATATTGTCTCCAAATCAGGGTATACCGGAAGTGGAGTATAGGTGCATTATTGCCCTGCTGGCCACAGGCTCGATCGATCCTGTGTTTGATAACAATGCCTTGTTACACAAATATGTACAGGGTGGTTTGAAAAATATTTAATATTAATTAAATTTTATTTTATATTTAAAAAACTTTTACATACAATAAAATGATTTTTTGTATCCTTAATGGAAAGCAGCCATTTAATTAGCTAGAATTCAATAAAGATATGTTTTATTTTACTAATTAGCAACACACACATATGACATTTAACGAAAAAAATTATTTACAATTTTTATGTTCATAAATATTAAATGTCCAATACATATATTTTGGAATAAAATTCCATTTGCACTTTAGGAAAATTCGTTTAATGAAACAGCATTAGCTTCTTGCCTTTCCCAAAAAAAAAAACGGGTACATGTACACAGAGAAAAGTAATCTCTTGATTTTACTATATCTGTCTTGACTCAAATAAATTATTTATTTCGATATGATACAAGAAGATATTTATTTAGTGGAAAACTTGGGTTTATTTGACTTTTTAAACTGACGTTTTGTTTAATACAAGTAAATATTTAGTTGACTTTTTATCTTACTTAAAGAAACAAAACATTTACTTGTATCAATTCTATTATTTTGTTAAAATAAGATATTATATGCTTGTATTAACATTTGATAAAACTAAATCCCTACAACCTATATCCAAAAAATTTAATTAATTGCTCTAAATAAATATTTCTTTACAATTAATCACAACAATAAGTTGTTTTCAAGAAACTCATGATTTACAACCAAATAATAGTATTTTCTTATTGTAAACAAGAAGTTACCTACTACGAATAAGACAATTTTACTTCATACAAGAAAAACTGTTTCAAATAAATGCATTTTCTTAAATCAAGAGATTACTTTTCTCTGTGTAGTAGCGGAACCGCCGTTGTTAATTCGCCTAGGACATAAAGATAAAGGAGTCCTAACTTGGAAGAAAATTCCTATGCCAGGATTTTCACTAAAAATATATATAATTTGCCTGAAAACTTAGCTAAAATCTACCTAAAAATTTAAGCAAATTGCCTTGGAAACAGGAAATTTATTCTTGTATTCTCAGGCAATATCCCTTACGATCTAAGGTGTATCACCTTTGAAACCTAAGTAACTGCTTAATTAATTGTATCATTTTCTTAAGAAATTTTAGTTAAAGAATTCACTAATTTAAAAGGGGAATATTCCTCTGAATTCATTTCAAGCAGTTTGCCTTAAAAAATCAATGGTCCTATATAGTCTAATATTTTAGGTAAAAATTAGCTAAAATTTTGAACAGTGTAACACCTTGTACCCCTTGTTGTTTCTCCATTGACATAATTGTTCAAAAGTTTTATCATATTTTTCTTTTGACTTAAATGGAAGCAGATTTTGAGTCGCTTCTCAATTTTTTGACTGAATAAGTTCTTTTTAAACAATATAACTGACAAAAAATAGCAGTTAGTTACTAATAAAAAACATTGAAATTTCAAATCGATATCTTTGTCCGTTCTCCAGAAACTTCTAATAGACCACGAATGTGAAACATCCTGTATATCATAGTTTTTTTTAAATGTATACATGCAATTAAAACCATCTACTATTAAATAACAAAAATATAAAACTTTAAAGGTAGAAATCTGCCGGAAACAAATAAAGAATACTTTAAAAATATTTATTTCTACCATAGTTGCGCCATCTATGAACCAGAGGCTGTACTAGCAATCAAAATAATAACAAAATTATCAGTTATGGGCTATTAAAACCTTTCATCATTAACTTAAATGTTATATTCAGGAATTATTTTTAAATAAATAGCAGTTTAATATGAAAACATGTATTATTTATGTCAGAATTCGAGAAAGAAGCATTAGAGGTGGGTGCGTCAACATCAATTTCGTTATTTAACTTTATTGGGTACAATTTTTGACCACTTAAAAGTTAAATAAGATACCCAGAACATCTTTAATTCATAATGGATAACATTAAGGTCCTAAATAACTGGGGAAAGGTGTATTCGGCGGTTTAGGCGGTGGCCGCGCTCACCTCTACAGACCTCCGAAGCGCATCCCGTCCGCTTTTTCCGTCAGTGTGTCGCTGATCGAGTTGGCGAGAGGTGACGCGCGGGCGACTCGATTTTCCAAAAGCGATGCGGGATCTGGCCAATAAGATGGCCGAGTTAAAGTTCGAGGCTCCATTGGCTCAATTCGAAGAGGCGGACGATTGGGGCTCGACGGAGTTCCAAACGGCAACGCTGCAGCAAAAAAACGAGAACGAGATCAACAACATCAACCTGAACAAGAAGAACAAGGAGCTGAACGATGTCCTCAACGATTTCAACGAGGACATCATGAACAACTCCAACAGTTTGGAGAACGTCAACGCCAAGAAGATCGTGCTGAAGAACGGAGACACCGACAACTTCAACGAAACCTTCTCCGGGAGTCTGGAAGACCTAGTGAACACGTTCGATGACAAAATCACCAAGTGCTTCGGGAATTACGAGGAGTCGGTGGAAAAATTGGCCCCCGTACAGGTCAGGACTCAAGAGGAGATCATGAACGAATGCCAGTAAGTCATCATCATTCAAATGTAGCACGACATACTTAAAATCAAGGATTTGTTTACATATTCTACATGGCACCAAAACATAACCTTGCGGAACACCTCGCTAAAATTATAATATTTATATAACAACGATTTAAAAATAATAACAGGGTAGCTTCTATTAATTAATGTAGGTATAAGTTTACTACAGACAATGTACAAGTGAAATTTACTTGTACTTTCTACTATAATTGAAAAAACTGTTTGTCTGAAGAACAATGATTTGTTTATTTATCGTTTGTAATAATGTTGTTTAATCAAAACATGTTAAAATGAAAACAATTTAAAAAAATTTATATTTATTGTTTTATGGCTAATAATGAATAATTGAAATCATGAGTTGCTTTCTTATGTCTTCAAGATTCTGAAAAAATAATCATTTTACTGAAGTTACATACAATCTATTCAAACGTTAAATTAAATCCCACTGAATTTTAAAATTTTGTAAGCAATTTGCTGTATTTGCTTAAAATGATTCAATACCTAATATCTATGCCAATAACCTTCCACATACCTATTTTACCTCAATGTTTGCTTTATGCAATAGCAAGGTATTTATTTAAAGTGAACATCGGCAATTTTCAGTGTTAGATCGATATTTGTCGAATTTGATATTTTTTGTCAATTTCGAGAATAATATTTACCCGCCAGTGTGTGACATGCGCATTAGGCCGTTCTTGGTTTGTAAATCAATAGAGTTTTAAGGGTGGTTTCCCCCTATTACCCCGCTTTTATCATTTAATATGCACTTGTTACGTTTTATCGAAATGTTGTGCATTGGGGTGAAGGACCGGCGACTTCAAGAAATTAATTATGTATTAGACTGGGCCAAAAAAATCGAAGAAAAACTTAAAATTTCAATTTTTTCTTCATGAATAACTTTTGAAGAATTAAATTTAGGCAAAAATCTTAAGAGACCTTTTTTGTAGAACATTAAATTTCCTTTAAGAATCCGACGTGAGTTTTTTAAATATTCATTGATTCATTAGTTACAAAATTTCAAAGTAAAAAGGGCAAATCGAAAAAACACATCGATTTATTAAGCTCAATTACTCGGAAACGGCTCGTCTGACGAAAATTTTCAATCAGACCTTTTTTGTAGAGAATTTAATTTTATATAAAAATAAGTGAAAAGGAATTTTTTTCACTTTAATGTTTTGACAGTTCTAACGTAAAACATCATATTATGACTAAAAATAAAAAATAGCGATGATAGACCTCTTAAAATTAATATTAAGGGCTCAAATTTTCACGAAATTTTTTTTGTCATTCTGATTGACATTCTCGATATATTTTTCAAAAAAAAATAGTCAATTTTTTTGGCCCAGTCTATTATGTATAATATGAATTTTTTTGAAAATTTAACAATTTATTTTAAAATTAGGTTAATATTTCGTATAGAAATATAATTTGACCTTTTAATTTAATAATCAAGTAAATGTCAGGATTTACTGCAGCTTTTTAATGTCACTTTACGCGTTATTACGTTTATGAAACTAGAAGAAATATCAATTTCAAATAGGTAGGTATTTCAAAAATAGTTTTTACCTATTTTGCGTTTATAATGACTTCATTATAACACCGGTGCTGTAATGAGATACTTTATCCCACCCAAAATTTTGATTTTATAGGTTAGCTATAGGTACTTTAAACAGCATATTGGTTATAATATTTTTATGATTTTTCTAGTACTTTTCTGGCAATAAATTTCGTTTAACACCAAAGAAAATCCATTTTTTCTTCTTTAACATTAACAGCCGCTTATTGTAAATAAGTAAATTAAGGACGGCATGGCGAATCGATTTTGACATGAACTGTCAAACCAATGACTGTGATATCAACTATCTAAAGTAAAATTCGACCAAATTAAATTTAAGGTATAAAATTATTTTTTTTTATATAATTTTTGCAAAATAGCGCGTGCGACAAAATGACGTCTTATGACATTAGTTCTTTAATATACTATAATAAGACTATTAAATACAATATAAACCACAATCTAATACAGATTCTGCATTGTTATTACCAGGAAAGAATATCATATATCTTTTTAAGAAATATATAAAATGAAAAATTATATTTATTTGTTACTTTTAAACTGTAATATAAAGCATAAAAAGTGATGGGACCTAATAATGTTTATGTAAACTATCCAAATTATCAAAAAAATGTTTATTTGGTGCCACTATTGTATTTTACCGGTAGTATGGTTAGTTGTCTAATTACTGTACGTAAGCAGTCATAACTTTGTCATTTATTGTATGACATTTGACAACAACTAACTTAAAGCTAACTTCAGCCCGTGACTAAAACTCTATAAAGCCATAGCTTGCCAATGTGTATTTAAAATATCACTTGGGCTCCTGAAAACATGTACGATAATGGGCGTATTAAATTACAAATTATTTTAAAGCTATTTAACCAGACTCACCTTACTACGAAAACTTGGTTATGGATTTCACAAATCCTTGACAATACCTACTATGTACTTTGGTACTATTGTTGTCTAGACAACAATAGTATTGTATATTAACTTTATTAAAAATTAAACAATAGAGTTTTGTTTTTCGGGAAACTATTTACATATTTTCTCATTTCGCAACATTTTCCATTTATTTTAAGAAAAATATAAACATTTTTATTCACGCATACATGCACTGACATAATATGCTGCCGATCTGTAAATATTTAACAATAATATTTACATATTCTTGTATAATAAACAATGAAAAGTTTGCCTTTAAGAAAGCGGTAGAGTGTTATAAGTTACAAATTCATTAGGGTTTTTACATAACAATTTGTTACGGTTTACTTGGTTATAATAAATCTAACAAATTTTTTAAATTTATACAATTAATTAAATAATTTGTTAACATGTTAATTTGAAATTAATATTGTAGGAATTGTAGGAAAAACATTAAAAAAATATATTTTACTTTTTAGAATTTGTCGTACATATTAAACTTACTAAATACGGGCCTGTTAAAAACACATTTGGATATTTTATTATTTTTTATAGGGGACTAAATTCAAACATTTATTTTTTATTATGTAAATTACTTAGTTAAACTAAATCTCTTTATTAGGATTCTCATTCGCCCATAAGCATTTCTTTTAAAGGAAAGTTGTTCACCTTCATTCCACATATCAACTAACCAAATTTATATATCGATTAAAAAAAATCTGATAGGCGTTACACAATAAATCGGTTTTTTCATTTGCATATGGATATGGTCTTGTATTTATTTTAATCGTGTCAATTATACAATTATATTTATAAACGATTTAACAAAAAATTGACAATGAAAGTTTTATTTTAAAAATTTTTTTGCGACAAAAAAACATTATTAAGAAAAATGAATGTCTCTCAAATTTCGTTACCAAGAAGACAACAAAAAGTGGCTCCGAAACATGTTTAAAATGCGCTTCTCACAGGTACACGCATCTTAAAAGATCTACTCTTGTAAGAGGTCATTACAAGTTTAACCTGTGGAAGGTCAGCTGGCTCGGTGCGTCCCTTTTAGCGATCTCAAACAAAAGCCAACGTATAGAGGAAACTTTCAATAAAAACCCCTTGTGTGCAAGGCGCGTGACGTCAATGGCTCATCAAAACCGTCGTCACATGCTAAAATTAAAACGGGTCGGATATAAACTGTATCGTAGAGGTGAGAAGGATTCAGGTCATCTTTAGGTGTGAAGAGATATAGAATAGAATAGAATACAATAACTTTTATTTAAAATATTCATACAGGCGAAGAATACATCAAATAAATATAAATGAAATACAATTAAAAGGATAAAATATAAGATAAAATACAATATAAAATTTAAAGTAGCAGGCAAATAATACATTATACATTTTAGTAATATTGAAGTATACTTTTATAAAATATAAGAAATCTAATATTTAAAAAGTATCATAAACTAGTTTTAAAATCACCATGTTTAGAAACGATAACTAAAAAAATCATCAATTGAGTATATAATAGCATTCTTTTTCAGGGTTCATACTATTGAATTCGTATAAAATTCTCTGACTTTTCCAGGTTTTCCAGAACTTTCTCAAGCTTTTTCCATAGACTGTGAAAGGTGTCAAAAATTGATGAAGATATTTAGGCAAATAGGAAAAAAATAAAAAATATAATTTATACTTTTAGATCTTTTAAAATTTAACTTAATGGTTATAACAAAACATAGAGGATTTTTCTCGTAAATAAAAACAAAACAAAATACAAAAATAAACCAAATAACCATTTGAAACTTTTTCTCTCAATATTTGTAGACGTCTATTCATGGTTGGTTCCTTCAGTTAATTTTTGTTTTCCAAAACCTTGATTTCCGTCATTAAACAATTTTTCACAATTACGAGAAAGACTTGTAATGTTACTTTGACTTTTGTTAAAGATAAATTGACAGTTACACGATTAGGTAGTTTACATTAAAATGGCCCAAGCATTTCCTTTATATTAAATCATAATGTAGATTGTGTAGGTATTAAGTAAATATTATTTTCTTTTATATTATTATTATTATTTTAAGTATAAGTATTATTTACAGATAATTCTCTGACTTTTCGTTTTTTCTTTAAATTCCCTGAATTTTCCATGACTTTTTAGACTCATTTTATATTCCCTGATAACTTTTCCTGGTCGCTACGAACCCTGTTTTTTAGTATATGACCTCCTTTTTATATCTTTTAAGTTCCATATATTATATAAATTAATTTGGGTTAAACAAATATTAGAAATATTCCCCAACACCAAAACAAAACACAAAAAACTTTTCGCCAACGATGTTGGTTTATAGGATATGACTTTGAATATTTGTATACAAATTAAAAATTGAAAAAATATGCGAAAACTAATGAATTCGTTTTTGAAACGCGCTGAAATTATCGGGAGGCCTTCAGGCGAGACGGTGCAGTCTTTTCAGGCGCCTGAAAGTCTGGAACTGAAAGGTCGCATAATGACTAATACACATTTAGTTACAGGCAGATGAAAAATATTATATACAGTGTGTCTACTTAAGTTGGCAACTATCTTATTGCTCATTTTACGAAGAAAAGTTCTGCATGTTCTAAAATCTAAAATAAAATCAGATATCAATTTTTTCAGTCGTATACGAGGTTTGACAAAAAATATGAATTTGGTTAAGTAATAAGCATATTCTGATGTTTTAACAAAAATTATTTTCTACAATGTTTTAAAAGTCTAAAACCTATCCTCCGTGACTTTCTAGGTTAATCTAAATGTTTTCAAATATATGAGGTAGTAAAAGCATACCAAAAATATCAGTTCACTAAGTAAATTAAACACATCCAAAGCAATCGAATCAAATATAAAATATTATTAAAAATTAAAAGAAATAATTTTTATAACCATTTATGTAGGTGTTACAAAAATTAATTCTATCCTCCGTGAATCTGTTTTTTCTTTAAATTTTATGCAACGGATGGCGCTTTAATCATTTTAAATAAGCAAAAACCTCTGTTTACGACATTATAGATGCATGAGATTCCTGAAGGTCACTTAGAATTTATATGCAGATAAGAGTGTTGCTGTTTTATAATTCAAAAGTTTAAGTTCATTAATTTGCTTTTTAAAAACCTATCCATGGATAGGTTTTACACTTTACGGTGCACCGTAAAGTGTAATATCTCAGTAAGTAGATTTTTTTATAAATATTTTATGTATGTACAATTGTATTTAAAAAAATATTAAGGTGTCAAAAGATACAATAACTTATTTCAAATACTCACTTTTTTTAATAAGAAATTTCGTTATTGTCAAAAATAAGGATACTTTACTTCTGAGTAAAATTCATATTTTTTGACAAACCGCGTATACGACTGAATTTTTTTTATTTCTGATGATTGTATTTTAGATTTTAGAACATGCAGATTTTTTTATGAGGAATAACTTTTTTTCTAAAAATTAATAATAAAAATGTTTCCCATATGTTGCCAACTTAAGTAGACACACTGTATATGTGGATAGCGTTTATCGAAAAGGAACCAAGCGCTAAAAAAATGTTCTGGAGTAAACAAAATTATTTGCTAAATAATAATGCTGCTCAAAAAATTAATAATGATTTGGGAACCTTCTCAATCCTTTTGAGAAAAGTTTCAAATGATGATTAATCTTTTGAGCAATATTAAAAATAAATAATTTTTTAAGTTTTTGGCGCTTGGTTCCTTTTCGATAAGCCTTATCCATATAATATGACATACATTTTTATTTAATTTATGATTAAAATTCCTAGCTAACACTTTTTAGAATATTGATGGGTATTAGGTAGTATTATTGTACCCTACTTTAGTTACACACTTCTTTTTTTTCAGTCAATTACCACAAAACCTTAGAAAGTATGTGTTACATAACACTACCAACACTTACGTGTGTATGCTGAAACCGTATTTTGAAATTATAGATTTTTCAGCATTTGGCATGAAAATGGGAATTGTTCATGTGTAAAATCCAAGGTCAATTTAAATTTGCTTTTCAGCATTTATCCCGATTTATTTGAAATTTACTTTTTCACCGCAGTATTTTTAACTTTGGCAAACATACGTAATATTTTTATATAAAAAAATCATTTTTATTATTTTATTGTATACAGTCCCACTTACAAGAAAACACCCTGTACAAATGTGATTCATAACATTTGTTTATGAGTGTACCTCGTCAAATTTAACTCGGTACTAATTTGGTTTACCGAATTAGTCACTTTGATCTATATTACATATTTTTAGACACGCCATATTAAATACGCCTTTTAAATCTTTGGCTCTTAAGAAAGATGTCCTAAAATATACAGCAGGGTGGATGAACTCTCTCTCTACCCTCTGCGATGATTATATTTCGCTGGAGGCGTAAAACAGGTAGAAAGAACAAACTTTATACGTGATAAAAGCAAAAGGTCCCCTTTTTTTGTTCTTTTTCAAAAGAAACACAAAATAAATAAGTTTAAATTTGTATGTATGTATACCTACTAGGGTGTTTACAAATTTAAACCGAAAATTGTATATTTGAACTAAATTTTTTAAAAATCAATTTTTTTAGTTTTGCAGTTTTTTTAAAAAAAAGTAACTTTGTAAATTTCAGTTAAAACATCATTAAAGCGATAAACTTTAATCTTCAAACTATTATGTGATAAATGCTAAAACGGCGTGCCACAGATTGCGGTGTCTTGGTTGCCATATAAGGCCAGGTGTACCAATCATACCTGTCGTTTAAAAACCACTTTGTGGTATTGTGAGCGATTTATAAATAAATACAAAGTTACTCAAGGATGACCACTACTTGTAGAGTAATCGATTTGTAGGTTGAAAAAATAAAAAAAGTTTTTTATGTGTAAAACACTAAACATTTTTCTTGTTATTATAATAATTACTCATATACATAGGTACGCATTTATATGTATCATATCATGTATATAAATATTAAACCACAAAAAATTATACCAAACAATTATATTAACATTTTTTTCCTTTCCAGAATGTGGTGGACAATTACAGGAAATTTTGGAAACATACTACCAATTGATTGGTCGAAATCGTATGCCAGAAAATTGCACATTGACTCGCTACATTTAGAAAAGGTAAGAATAAATATTACGACAAAAAATTCATCATAATGAAAGGTTTTAAACAAATTATAACAAAAAAACTATACATCTTAATTAAAGTAGGTGCTCAAAATGGTGTCCTTCGTTTTAATATTATGCTAACACTGCTCTGGGATATTCTAATACATTAATTTCATTATTTCCTGCCTGCTTCTCCATAAATCGTAATCATTTCTATTTTTTCTTCCACTGTTAAAAAATCCATTCTGAATAACTGCTTAACGAAAGGAGGTCTTTTTGTTTGCAAATTAATCTTTGAACTATATTGATTAAATAATGCTAATTTATAAATAGTTTTTTTATACCTCAATAATAATTATTATTTATCTAAATACTTACCATTTTGTATACCTCAATTAGGATCAAATTAATTAATTGACAAAATAATGTTTTTTTTTACCCTAAATGAGGTATTTTTATTAAAAATAGTACAATAATCCTTTAAATTAAAGGATTTAATGCTGGCAGGTAAAAAGTGACCATGGTGCGCAATTGATACTTAATTATCACCGAATGAAATAATGTATAAACTTAAACCAAAGGAAACTTAAATATTAGTTAAAAAATCGTGGGAACTTAAAAAAATCAGATTTAATTTAATGAGATAATTATTACCAAAAAAGTGATATTTTTATAGAAAAATTATTGCAGAATCGTAGGTATAAGGAGAAAAATCGAACAAAATTGATTTTTTTTCATTACAGCGCCATCTATTACAAATATGAAAAAATGTTTTAGACAAAATCTGCCTATTTTTAGTCGAATGTTCCGAACCTACAATAAAAAATAGGGTGTTCCATTGGAAATTTTAAAGTTACCCCCTGTTCCCCCCATAAGGAGGAGAGTATGAAGCCCAATTTTAGTACTGATTGATTTCCCCCCTCGAATTCTTTAATTTTTATTTTAAACATTTTTTCGTAAAATGCATACTAACTGAGATATTTCAAAGTTTCAAGTTAAATAAATGACACCCTGTATATATATTTTATATTTTTATAATTTTTAGCTCAACAGTACCAATTTTTAAAATGTTCCAAACATAAATATTTATTTTCAGCTGCAATATGTTTTCACAATGTCATATCACATCTGTTTAATTTTTAGCAATTAAAAAAGGTCGCAAGGTCATTTTTGATGGTATTTAAATTAACGCTAAATAATGAGATCATAATAATAAATGTAGTGTTAAAAAAGAACCGGAATTTTAAACGCCTTTAATACTTTAAAAAACTTATTTCAAAGTTAAACTTTGAATCTTTAGATAAAAAGTATACTGCAGTTTGATTACAAAACTAAAACGATTCCACAACAAATTCACAGTTGAGGAGATAAAATAAGTGATGAACAACATAACGGAAATACTACTCCACTTTAAAAACTAAATTAGATCTATTGTAGGCGTGAAAAGTTACTGTTGTTTGTTATTTAACACTTACACACTATAAAGTATTGTAAAATCGATTCAAACATATTTTTGTTTACAAAAATTTTCATGGCATATTTTAAAAACCTAAACCACACTAAGTCAATGGGGTAGTTAAATTTTTTCTGACCTATACTTTTTATGGTTTTATTCAAAGCGTTTTGTAATATTAAACATTTCTGTGAAATCAGAATTTCAATTGAGTTTACCGTTTTCGAGATATTTACAAAAAATATATATTTTTATGACGTCACAAACCTCGCCATGTGACCAACATTCTAAGATTTCTATTGGTTGAAAATTACCCTGTTGTCAAGTTGTCTTGTTAATGATTTCATTCAGTTATGTCAGAAAATACCTGAAGAGGTTATGTACAAATACTGTCACTGTCAGTTGAGTGAAAGATGGTTACCAAATTCATTAAGTACCTATCTTCCTTATTACGAGGTATCATATTACTGTTTGATATTTTAGAGTCCAAGATATATCTAAAAGAACATAAAGAACTAATGAAATGCATTCACGACAAAATATGATTATAATTATAGGTACCTAGGTACTTACTTTATTTGTTTAAAAGCTCCAATGTTCAATGTAACCATTCCACGAGATTCCTCTGCTTTGAAGTCCGTTATTAATAAATCACTTATCTAATATCAATTACAAATAACATAACAATAACATTGATTTTCAATAATCTAAATCTTAAAAAAAAACATAACCCGAAAAAAAGAAACGTCAAAAAATCAATTCTTCTTCTTCTTCTCAACTAAAATTATAGATCAAGTGGTTTTAAAACTAAAATATTATAACGTGGCGCCATCTAGCGTAAGAATCTTAAACTAAACACACTGGCAACCATAGAAAAAGCTGGCAACGTTGTCAATAGCCTAGTGACGTAATTAGGAGATTTTTTTTTGTAAATATCTCGAAAACGGTAAACTGAATTGAAATTCCGATTTCACAGAAATGTTTAAAATTACAAAACGCCTTGAATAAAACCATAAAAAGTATAGGTCAGAAAAAATTTAACTACCCCATTAATTTTTTTTATATAATTTTTTTTCACAGGAACCACAAACTCCTGACGATGACCTTGACTTAAGCTCAGAAGATGAGGCTGTCGCAAGCGATTTAGATATGCATGCCCTTATATTAGGTAACAAAAAACCTTCAAACAAATGAAATAAAAACCTTCAACATATTTGTTTATTTTAAGGTGGTTTGCATCAAGACACGGAGCCTTTGAAAACTGCCGACGAAGTCATCCAAGAAATTGACGACATGATGCAGGAAGACAGTTGCTCTGTGGACGGATCGCCAGGTTCCAGGGACTCCATGTTGGAAAACAATGAGGTTATGGAGAAGGCCAAGGAAGTTTTAAGCTCCCCGCTATACGCAGACAGTAAGAAAACAATTTTTTCCAATCGTATTAAATAAAAAAATATTATTTTTTTAGAACTAAGAGATTTAAGCTTGTCTCAACTGAACGAGCTTTTCTTGGAACTGGAGGTTCTAATTCGGGAATTCTCGGAAACCCTGATATCCGAACTGGCGTTGAGAGATGAACTGGAATACGAAAAAGAATTGAAAAACACGTTTATATCGCTTCTGCTTGCGGTGCAAAACAAAAGAAGGCAGTACCACGTCGAGAAAAAAAGAAGTTCAAAACACAGCACAGTAAAAACACCAAGTGGATTGGATCCAAAGGTGAGAAATTCAATTTTCATTAAACATGTTTTTAATGATTTTTTTTAGTATTTAACCACAGTAATACCGTACCATATAGACAGTGGGCCAGCAGATAATCAAACTTTACAAGTCCTTATTAAAAGTAAGTCCCCAGAAAATACTATTTTTTTGACATAATGATAATTTTGTTATTTTTTAGTTTTAAAAGCTATAAACGAAGATAGCCCAACTGTGCCCACCCTATTGACGGATTACATCTTGAAAGTTATATGTCCAACGTAGAAAACTTAAACATAATAAAACAAAATAGCTTAATAATTTAAGTCTAGGCTTACCTATATAGCACATTGTTTTGCAGTTATTTATTTGTTGAATCGTTTTATAAATTATTTTTTGTATTATTGTATATGTGTTGTAAATATTTTGCCTAAACATTCTAGTCTAAAACAATGTTTATTGTAAATGTAAACGCATTGAACCTGCTTTATATATTTTATCGATTCGTATTCATAATATAACGATTTTGTCACTCATATCAGAATAGAAAATTATTTTTCGTAAATAGTACCCATATTTTTCGCGGTTTATATGTATAAATGAAAATCAAAAAACTACAAAGTTGAAAACTTACCTAAATTCGTTCATTTCTAGCTTCAAAACGATTTTCACGATTTTAAACTGTTTTAAACGCATTTTAAAACGTAAATTTAAAAGCTTAAAGTGTTAAAAACACAACTCAAAACAGAACTGTCAAAACTAGCAATTGTTTCATAATCAGTAGCGGATCATTCGTAATAAAAGAACTTTAAAATTAATCCAATTGTTTTGATGCAATCTTAATTGGTTGTTTTATTAATTATATTAATTACAAGTAAGTGTCCGTAAATAATATCATTATTAAATAAACGCAGAAGCTTAATTTACACTTTAAAGTTCGAAAGTGATGGCGCTACTGACATGACAGATTTTTCAGTGGCAACTCGATTTTTAGCGTGCTTTGAGTCAAAGCCTTTGACAGTCCGCGTCGGTTTTTCGTTAAAATTGTGTCTAAACTGTTTAAAGTGGTTTTGGGGCTAAAAATTCGAATTGTCATCTAAAAATGTTGTTTTGGGTGATTCTAGGGTTTTCAATGAACTACTCGTAAATTATTAGCACATTTCAGCTACCTTGTGCAATACCTATGCATAATTTCTTATACTAGAAGTTTTAAATTGGATCATTTTTTCGTGCTAGTACGTCCAATTTAAATCTTTAATATATTTTTTGTATAAATAAGTGATATTAGTGTTTATTGCGATTGTTTCTTGCCGATATTTTTTGTGAACCGTTTTAAATTAAGCTAAAAATAAAGTAATTGTAATGATTAGGAGGGTTTAAGATTTTTGTCTTAATTAAGACCATTTAAATGGTACCTGTTATAAATTAAAACGCCAGCCTTTAATGTAGATCTCAAATAAAGAAATAAAACCATTCTCCATCATTTTTGCGTTTTAATAAACCATTCTATTACCTAGGTAATAATGCATGAAATGTATAAAAAATAAAATTGTTTGACAGTTCATACTTCACAAAACTTTGACAGTCAATCATTGACAACTAGATTTATTATCAACCAATTAAACTGCTGGAATTTTAGCAAAACAATTTCATTTGTTGAATGGTTTTATAACTTTTAAGATGTTTAATATAAACTTTCAATCCAAGAAGACTAAATAAAGGAGAAGTAAACCTCTGGTAAGAATAATACTAAATAAAGTGCAGTTTTTTTAACAATCTATTTATTTCACATTGAAGAAATAAATATTACAAAAGTATAAAAATAGTTCCGACATTTTTTTTACTAAACTAACTTTAATAAAATTCGTATTTACAGTTCTTAAAATTAAAACAATACATTTTGTATGCAGGTGGAGTAAAAAATAGTTAAGTTTTGAGTAGTTTTTACCCGACCTGCATGTGATAATGAACAAATAAAACATAAATGACTAGTTTTTAATAAATAACAGAAATCAAAAATAAATTTTCATTCAAATTATAAATTTTTAAAATAAAACCCAAACATTTTTGATAATAAAATCAATCAAATTCTGTAAAGCTGCGTAACAAGTTGTGATGATTATAATAAAAAAAACAAAAAAAATATCTGAAATGAAATGAGTTGAGATCTTAAAAACACAAAATTAGAACACTTATCGCTTCAACAAAAGTTTGTACAGCGAGTTTGAAAAATCCTCTATATTTTGACACTGGTCGTCATTGTTATTCTCAAGGTTGTTGGGACTTGGCGGTGGCTGAATCAAATCATACTCAAAGTTTTCAGTGAGTTGTTCGCATTTTCTTTTTTGCCTTCGGTTCTCACTAGACGGTTCTCCTTGGTTTAAACTTTGTCTGGCTTTGTAAATCGGCTCATATTCCGTCAGTTGGGCCACGAAGCCCTCGTTGGGGCTTATGGAGGCCCTTTTGCCTTTTACAAAGTTGTATGCATCCCTAAAAAATGAAATAATAGAAAAGACGCCTTCTTGATTCATGTTGCTACTTACTCGCTGCTGAGTCCGTACTTTTCCATCACGTAGGCCAAGACCAAGGTGGCGCTCCGGGAATTCCCCGATTTGCTGCGCACCAAAACTTTGCAGCTCTTGGAAATGGCTTCGTCTATAAACTCCTTAACCCTCGGGAAAAATCGGATTATGTTCTCGGTTTCGTGATCTTGTATGTCCAGAGTTAGATAGGTTATGTTGTGTTCGGCGAAGTGGGGTATTACGAAGTGGGCTTCCAAGTCGGGGCCCACGGAAATTATGTACCTAAAATATTGATTTGGTTTTTTTTTCAACCCAAAAAAAAATTTTTTTTTTTTTACTTTATGTCGTTGCGTAGTAGTAAATTTAGGCAGTGGTTTTCGGCAGAGGAGTGCGAGCCCAAAAATAGGCCGGGAATAATTTCTTGCATGTTAGTGCCGTCCAAAAAAAATTGCCAATTGTGCCTGGAAAAAGGCAAATCATAGACGGCGGCTGTGATCCTTACGTTATTGTTGGTCTAAAAAAAAGTTTTCCAACGTAAAAATTTATTATATTATATTTAGATTTCTAAAACTAAATAAAACACTGTATTGTTTTCTTTCTTTTATATCTATAAATACCCAATTATAAAACATTAAAGTAACATAAAGAAAATTCAACTAAATACTACTTACTAATCAGAGAAAAGTTAGAAATATGAAATATGATTTAAATATTTTTTTTTTGTTTTGTTCGCCGTAATACAGTGGCGATTTAAATAAAAAAAACATTAGGAAAAACCAAAGGAAACAGCCGGACAATCGAAAAAATCGAAATTCGTACATATTTGAATTAATTTGAATAGATGGCGTTCGTAGCTGCGCTTCAAATTAAATATCTGTCCGAAAGAAACCGCCGGAAAATCAAAATTCGTACAACTTTGGATTAATTCGAATAGATGGCGTTCGTAGCTGCGCTTCAGATTAAATGAAAAAACATAACCACAAATTTATTCATTCAATTGTTTTAGCGAGAAATTAGTTTTAATAGTAAAGTTCTCGATTGTACTATTTTTTATTAAAATTAATATTACGTGTACACATAAAATTAATAATTAACAATTATTGTAAAATAGAATTGTACGATTGAAATATAAATACAGAATGTTTCAGGAATCAAAGGAAAAAATATTCGATGGGCGATATTGATTTACATTTAAAATACCTATACATTTAAAATATATACCTATTTAAAGATTTTATTATATTTTTTAGTAATTTATTATTAATAACAATGTTATCTACCACAAATATCATTTAAACCACTCATAATTCCAATAAAAAAATAAAAACGCGATTATAACATAATTTTTACGAATACTCGAATTCTTGTGCATTTTCGTTCGAGTTATTCAAGATAAATGATTCATATCAACAAGTGCAAAATATTTTTATGTTTTTGCGGTTTTTGAAGGTTTTCCAACATATTGGCATTATTTGGAGCAACAAAACTAATTTTAATCCCATTTTTTTCCAATCCAATTACGCAGTAACGCCTAGTGACAGATAAATTTAAGGTTAGGATTTAGGCGCGAAGGAAAACCCTCAATAAACCAAAAACTTATCAACAAATCACTAAAAATTACTTGTAAAATGGAAAATCCATCGTTTTTAAGGCATAAAACATTAAAATAAACTCACAGGGACGCTTATCAAGTTACTAACCTCATCTTGAGTGTAAATTGGCGAATTCACATCGATCATCGTAAAAATCGTACTAAAAACACTTTAAATTTGCAATAGATCAGTTCAGTCACTTAAAACACTACAAATTTTAGCACTACATCCCTTAAATTTACATTTAGAAGCGTTTTAAAAAATCACCATTTTCTTTGAAGAAAAGTGACAGTCGCACTTGGCGACATCTAGTCGGCGACTTTGAGAAGCTAATTGTGGAGGCGGGAAATTCAAACGTAACTTAGTTGAGATTATTTATTTGGATATATGTTCCTTATACAGCTTTTAAATATAAAATTAGACTATTTAGTTCTAAATAAAGTATTACAACAATTATAACAACCTTATAAACAATACTATTACACTAGAATATGCTAAATAACAACAAAATTTGTTAAAAGTTCTTAATATCCTTTGTTTCATCTTTTACTATTAACTCATGTGAAAATTCGTTCAATTTTTTAAAGAACTTCACGTCGGACATATTTTGGACGTAAAGAAACCTGCAAAAAATGTTGAAACATGAAAAATTGTAGAAACTAAAAATAGATTAATCAATTGGTCACTTCCGGTTAAGCCGGAAATTGCGACGAAAACAGATAATGAAACTTACTGATAGACTTGTCTTTGTCCTATGACTTTCCTCATCTTATTTGATGAATAATAGTATCTCAATGATCGAGAAAGCTTATCGTAAGTCATGTTTTTTGAATTTTTACGTTTACCCCATAAATTGGCCAGTTCATTTGTGTCCAGTATTTTGAATATGCCTTGGTTTATGTCCCTCCACACTATAGTACGTCTGAAAGTATTGTTTTTATCGTTTAAAAGCTGGTGAAGGAAGTCCCACAACTTTATTGGGTGTTCTAAAAATATATAATTTTTTACTTCAAAATCTTCTTATATGTAGTTTATGTAAAGCTATATACATGCACTTTTCCTATTTTAATCTTAAAACTATCAAAAAGGATACGAAAAGGATACAAAAACAACTAAAGTTGTTAAAAGTAGATTAAAATCTACCACAATAACCTGTTGATTAAAAAAGGGGGTTATGTAGCTTTTAAATGCGTACTACTTCGCTTGTCTTGCTAAAATAAACTTGCATTGCTAATTTCACTTAACTTTCACCATGCTAATGCAACGAAATTGTAATATTTTAGCGTTGAATACGAGTATTTTTATATATGTGTCAACATTTGACAGCGGATGTTTGAAGTTGGTCGTTGAGATAGGCAACCCAGGTTACAAGATGTGTTGTGAGATTGCCTACATTCAAGCACAAACTTTTTAAATTAGAGGTAATTTTTTAACAAAAAATACTATTGAGCCTTTGAAAATTTGCAGGAGGAATTTTATTAAAACGGGTTTATAAGTAGTTGGCGGAATTAAGATTTTGGTTCTGTTGTTCTAGTAGTACCTATCTTCATTTAAATAATTTGACAACTAAATACTTAACAGCAAATTCAGCTATGCCAATGTAGTGAAAATAAAACATTGTATTTAATTAACAAATTATTACTTTATTAAAAATAAAAGTATTTTTAAAAATTAAAAAACAACATTTAAAGTAAATTAATAACAATATAAATTGTTAATTTGTTGTTATAATGGCAAAATCAAGGTTTATAACTGTCATTTTTTTGTGTTTCTTAAGTTGACAGCACAAAATTTAAAATGACAATTTTAAAAAGTGCTAATAAAGTGTTTTTTGTGAACCTTTTTAGTTGCTTGAGTTTAAAAACGAATTTTTGAAAGAATCTGTGGTGTAAAAAAATCTGAAATTATTTGTGAATGTGTCTGATGCCTCACAAAATCATATGTACCTATATTAAATTTTGAAGACATTCTATGAAAACTATACAAGTGTTTATGTATGGTTTTTACCTGTGTAATTATCTGTTAAACTGTTGGTTCATTTAAATAGTGAATAACTATATTAATTTGTGGAATAAGGATTTTATTTGGGTAAGGAAATAAAGAAGCAATTATGTAAAAGAACTTATCATATATATTTATATTCTTGTTACACGTTAACAACTCATTACATATATACATATATATCTAGAAATCTTGTAACAAAAATACGATTTTGACAAAAAGTTTGATAAATTTGGAAAAACCCTCGAAAAATTTAGAACATCGTTTTATTAGAAATATCTACATCTCATTAATATACATAATCTTTTATTAAAATCACAAAATTTGAGTTTTTTCGTTATAAATTTGAGATCACACAAGTAAACGGCACTGGAAGTTCAAGGCCACGAAAATTCGTTTTGTAAAAATTGCATAATCTTACTACAAATGGAATGTCCCATATAAAATTCGTTTGTATTCGTATATAAAAAATTGAGCCGTGTGGCTTGAATAATCCCACAACCGCCGTATTATTTTGTACAGTTACATAATTTACCAAATCTTATTGTCGCCTAACATCACAAAAAATGTGAAAAAATGGAAGAAAAAAAATTAAAGCTGCCTACTGACGATGTCGCCACCATCATTTTGGTTTTGAGAATTATTATTGCATTATTTTATAATCCTCTTCGACCAAAAATAGAAAAAAATAAGTTATTGTTTTGGCACATCAATACAGATTGCACTGTTTAAAAAATATTAATCCTAAAAAATACTATTTACAAATGAATCACTTTTTTGCACATTCTTTTTTAGTTTATATTGGCACCTTACAGTCACAATGTTTTTAATGCACTACAATATCACTATCAGTGCAGCGGACCGCCTAGGGGCGGGTCCGGCGAGCAGACAATATTAACGTGTCTACTGCTGCTGCTGCTCAGGTCTGTGGGACCCTCCATACTCAAATCGGTGGGTTTATCCTCGTACTCCATGGGACGGCAATTTTGGACTTCCGGGGCTTCGATTTCGGCCGGCTCCGGCTTGATAGTCACCTGGGGTAGCACTGGGGGCTTCGTGTTTGTGGGCGACATCTGTTGCCTCAGAAGCGAAATGTTCTTTATGTTTTTGAGTTCCGTCGGGTTCCTCAGGAATCTGCAAAAAAACGAAGGTTTCAGTATGGCTTATGTACTCCAACTGTTGGGAAAACAGCGGTGAGATGTAGATACTTACTGGTAACAATGCCTCTCTCCTTGGACTTTCCTCAGGATGTTAACTCTGTAGTAGTATCTTAAGGCTCTGGACATTTTGTCGTAGTTCATTGACAAGTGGTTTTTCTGGATTCCCCAAAGTTTGGCAAGGCCAGCCGGATCCACAATTTTAAACACGCCGGTATCCCTGTTTTTCCAGGCGATGTATCCCGTGTATCTTTGATTGGGGTCGTTAAGGAGTTGTTGGAGGAAGTCCCACAGCAATCTACCGTCTGTAATAAAGTAAATTATGTTAGTTGACTTTCTACCCAGACTGCAATGAAGGTTCGAAAATATTCCAGGAATATTCCCTATCGCCTAGGAATAATCCGCTTCATTCTAGGAATATTCATAGAATGATCCTCTAAAACTTCCAAGCATCATCTAAGAACATTCCCAGTGAATATTCATTAGTTTAGTTGCAATACCTCTCACCGTTGCTTACGCACGCTTGATAACTATATATACCGAAAGGTTAATAATATCAGTTGGAGATGTGCGTCTGTGATGGCACAGCTAAACAATGATTAGAGTGGGACTGATCTACTCAGTAACTCAATAATGGCTATACTTAAGTTAAGTTCCTGGGTATAAGAGGCAATAAGGGCTGGGAATAATCCCCAAATTATATCAAGTAATATTCCCCTAACAATCCTTGAGTCTTCTGCAGGCAGATATATGGAATATTCTTATTATGATGCCTGGGTTTTTTTAAATGTTCATAAAAAATGGACTTACTTGTGTTGGGTTCAGGAGTGTCGTTTGGGAAGAACTCTCTTCCAACCGATTTAAACGCTCCAGGCGATTGAATCTCTTTAGGGCTTCGTGGAGGTAAGTGGGGCATTGGGGGTACCAAAGAGTAGGCGCTGGGTGTGTTTGGAGGACTGCCGTGGTGGCCGTTTTTATCGAAATTGTCCTCGTCGGAATCGCTGGGATTGCTCCCGTTGCTCCCATTGGTGCTGAATATGGAATGATTGAAGGTGGCTTGGTCCAAATGCTGCGGGCTGCCCGATTGGCTGTCCAGGGAGGGGGCGGGGGAGAGGGTGACGGAGTTGCTCATCAAGTGGGCGGCTAAGGTGGCCGCGTGCGACGAGTGGAACGAGTCGTGCTGGAGGATGTTCCAGTTGGGGGTGGGAGGGTGCGAGTGGGGGGAGAGGGGGTACGGGTGTCTGCTCGTCGGGGTGACGGGGCTCGATGGTAGCATGCGTTGGAAGTTGTTCGCTTCTCTCACGAGGATTTGCAGGACGTTGTGCAAAACGTCACCGCTACCCGGGGCTCTCTCTGATAGATCTTGCCGGGTCAAGAGGCACATTGCTTTGCCGTTCATCTGGAAAATGTCCATGTCGATGGGTTGCAAGTCGAACTCTCTTTCGGCCCATCGCAAGAACGTTAAAACGTCCTCTCTAGACCATATTCTAGGGTCCGATGTCAAGCTCGATGGTAGCTGACTTTTGTAGTCCAATAGCGGCGAAGATGGGGTTTGAAGTTGCCCCATCGACGACAAACCCAATGGGTATCTCCACAATAAATCAGGGCTGAATGGTAAGGGTAAAGGCAGTCTATCCATCGCTGTGCTAGTTGGTATTGGTGGCAAAGGGCCTGGCACCAATTTCATTGTTTATCTGGAAGAGAAAATACATTGTCATATGTCGGACGTCGGAAATTTGATAAAAATCCAAAGACAAAGAAACCTAAGGTATGCAGATGTGTGTATGTAGGAAGTAGCGTTAAATTGCATCGGCATTAAAACTAATACGAATAGTACGTGGGTTCTCAGCGCTCGCGGAAGTGGTTTCAAGGTTGTTTGTAATATTTTTAAAAGTTATTTACACGAACGACTAAAACCTTTCCGGACTATAATGAGCTCACCGTTCGAAAGTACAACACCACATTTTGTCGTTAATATTTTTTGATTCGAGATAATATACCTGCAACCTTTTCCATTGTCTATTTCCGAAAAATTTCCTATCTTAACGAGCTCATTGTTACAGTTCTCACTTTGTTATCTATCCAAATAAAAAACGGCTCAAGTGCCTTCGCTTAGTCAAGGTTACCAACGCACGCATATGGCCACTTGTGCGACCGGAATTGTGTCATATCGAGCTTTTTTAATTGCCGCATATTTTCCGAAAGAAACAATGGATTTTGTAAAAGGAAACTTAATTGGAAAAATCCCGACCAGGAAATGCGTCAATGCCAATACAGAAAAGGAATTATTTATCGATGTTTACTTCCTCGAAATACTTAAATAAATGCTCTTATTATCATTGTTTGTTAATACTGAAAGTGACTCGACTTTTATTATATAGCAACTTAAAAAAAAACAAGCGTAGATGTTGGTTTTTGGGTTTTTACCTGCTACGTTCTAAGAATTGTTTGGGAAGCTGCTCAGAATTAATAAACGCGTCAGGGAGATTTTACACAAAAAACAATGTTATTTAAATTTAATTAAATTTAAATTCTTAAAGGTCCATTTAGTCAATAACTTTAATATAGCTTTTGAACAGCTTAATAGTTTAAAATCAACCAGGTTGCATTTTTAACATTTAGATTGGCAGTTTTTTTCGTTATTATTATTGTATTATTAAAGTTAAATAATACGGCATTTCTAAATATCGTATACCCAGGGCCGTAGCGAGGCTGGTGCAGGCGGTGCGGTGCACCAGGGCCCCCGACCTAAAAGGGGCCCCCAAAACTATAGTTTTTTATAAAAAGTTTTACTAAAAAATCGTAATTTTCGATATCCTATCCTATCCTAAAGTTTTGCACCGGGGCCCCTGAGTCCGTCGCTACGGCCCTGCGTATACCTATATTGTTTACGTAACAGGTTCAATTGAATTTTTGGGGATAATTTCCAATATTGTAAATAACATTATTTTCCCTTTCAAGATTAATCTGTTGAACAAAACTAATATTTAAATTTAAACATTCCCTAGAATTTTAGGGGTAACTTATCCGCTCCCTACTTATAACACCCGATCTAGCGTCTTGAGATTGCGTAGGAGGCGAAGATCAACAGGTATTACACGTGTACCAATATAAACAAACAAAAACAAAATAAATATCAACAATAAGCACCTTATTAGATCCTTGGCTGAAACGGCACTGTATATCCTTAATAATTGCACATAAATAAACACAGTTCACTGCTTGAATCGTCTTTAAAACGCACCAACAACAAAAATAATAAACACTGTAACACACTCGACTCCAAATATTTTTAAGTGTAATAATTATATTTTATAGCAGTAACTGTGGCTAGCCTACTCGATAGCCACCTAACTACTACCGTGTGTCAACTGTTCTGTACTGACTGCCTGCACCGCTTGCTGCGTATGTCTACTTCCTTCCATAATATCGCGGAGGCTGTGTCGATGTCGTGTGGTGGGGGCAGGCGGTGTTGCGATGTTGCCGCGATGCCGGATCTACACTTGCGAGTCTCACGCGCGCATTCGTAGACTTCCTATTGCGAGGTTGCCGAGTGTACGGGGGCTTTCCCAGGTATTGAGATTTTTTGTCAAAATTAAAAATTGATTTTTAAATTACAAAAAAATTAAAATCAATGTGTTTTAAAAATTAATATAATTGCAAACGAAATTTGCATTTATGGAATTTATTAAATTTTAAAAATCCATCAAAATTATTTTTAGTTAACTATTTAACTAAACAACAAAAAATACTTTTTAGATAATTATTACTTATACCTAATTCAATTAGTATTTCAAATATAGTGTAAAAATGCATTTAATACATTCTTTACCTGATTTTTAGGCACACAAATTACTAATAATTTTAATCCTGTGCAGGTGATAAAAGCTTTAAATTAATTCACTTGCAGCAAAATTCGAAAATAATTCGGCAGGTAAGAATTGCATCCCAGTGCACTTCATTTTATTGTTTTATATTTATTTTTGGATTGTAAATTTGTTGTTCTGGAAACCAAAAATCTACCTCAATAAATATACAGTGTGTCTACTTAAGTTGGCGACCGTATTTTCATTTTTGGTGTATACAGCCGAATCATCATAGTAGCATTCGGTTTTGCGGAATTATTAAGTTGATTTAAGATGATTCAGTTACAAAAAAGTTTAAATGCACTCGGTCTGTATACTCTTACCTTGAAAATACCGTATGAATATTTTTAATCCAGTCCTGTGCATTTTAAACAACTTTATCTAAAATCCGGTATTAATCTCGACAAGAGCAAAAAATAAATAAATATATTTTATATCAAAGGTTATATTTATTTAGTGTTATTTATTAATGTGCTTTTATTTCTCAAATAGTATTTCGTTGTAATCTTCTTAATTCTATTTACGTCACCACTTTTATCTTATTTCTGATAAAAATGATGCTTAGCGAAAATACACAGGTAAACCCATAATGTTTTTTTAGACATTCCTTTGGATATTTGAAATAAGATATTGTTTCTTTTGACACCTTAATATTTAAAAAAAATACAATTATTGTACATACATAAAATATATATAAAAAAATCTACTTACTGAGATATTACATTTCACGGTGGATAGGTTTTTAAATAGCAAATTAATGAACTTAAACTTTTGAATTATAAAACAGCAACACTCTCATCTGCATATAAATTCTAACTGACCTTCAGGAATCACATGCATCTATAATGTCGTAAACAGAGGTTTTTGCTTATTTAAAATGATTAAAGCGCCATCCGTTGCATAAAATTTAAAGCAAAAACAGATTCACGGAGGATAGAATCAATTTTTGTAACACCCACATAAATGGTTATCAAAATTATTTCTTTTAATTTTTAACAATATTTTATATTTGATTCGATTGCTTTGGATGTGTTTAATTTACTTAGTGAACTGATATTTTTAGTATGCTTTTACTACCTCAGATATTTAAAAACATATAGGTTAACCTAGAAAGAGTAACAGTCACGGAGTAGGTTTTAGACTTTTAAAACATTGTAAAAAATAATTAATTGCGGTTAAAAATCTGGAATCTGAGCTGTAATATCTACTTAATTATGGAAGATCAAAACACAATAAAAGTGTAGGTCAAACTCATTTGGTTTTATTAAATATCACGGGGTAACACCATTGGGGGACATAACAACCTGGGGAATTCCCTAAATATTTTTCTACCCCTAGAAATTTGGGTTTATCTCACAAAAATTATTCTTAATGATCTTTTCTGCTTGTTTTAAAATCAATAAAACATTTTAAAAACATCGGAAATTTCGGAGGTACGTAAAGGAGAAAAATATTTTTGATTTCCAAAAAAAAAAAACAATTTCCAATGATTTTTCAAAATCCTAAAATACCAAAAACATTTTGAATATCTCTACCCGTCTTGAGAAAAAACATTTTTTCATTTTTGAAATAAATTTTTCTGAAAATTAATAATATTTTTTTCTGTACGCGTTTTTTAGATACAATTGTTTTAATTGAAGCCAAAAGGTCAAAACTGTGCTTTATTGGATTAATTAAAAAAATACAGAAAAAAAACAAAAAATACGCATATTTTTTTACGTTATAACATCTGTACACATACATAACAAATTCTTTTCTTTTGCGTTTAGTGGGAACCAGAGCTTGGCAATATTTGGGTTACTAATACCAATTAAAAACACGGATTAAATAATAGCGCACAGTGTGACAAACAAAAAAAAACTGACACATTTTGAACACCTTAAAAATAATGCAAGTAAAAATGTAGGTCAATATTGTAATTGTTACGCCACTGTGCGTCGTTGGAATTAATTGCATGGCGCACTTACTCCTTAAAATTGCATAATTTTCGTTCTGAAACCGATGACCTATTACGTTACACGATTTTAGTGTTTCCGGATTTTAATTTGGAGTTTAAAGGCTTTTAAAACGAAATTACATCTTAAAAATAGTTTATAGTTGTGAGAATACATTTTTATTTGACATTTCGATTTTTATGATTAACAATCAGTGGCGGCTCGTCAACAACTTTTATGAAGTTAAGCCAAATGCCTCAATGGCAGAAAAAGTAAATCGCCTTATGGACATTTTTGGAGTAGAAAAGTAGCGAATTTGGTTTTATAAATATTACATAACACATTATTTTCAGCTAAACATATCAAAATTTTTTAAAATTTTAAAAAATAAGGGGGAAATAATAAAACAAAAAATAAAAATTATTTGCTGTTATAACCTATAGGTTCAACTTTTTTATGAAAAATCTAGTACCTACCTAGTTAATTTTCCTGTCTTTGAAAATAGCATCCATTTGGTTTGAAAAAGATAAGCAATAATCACGAAACTTTTTCTTCTTTCAATTTGCAAGTTACTGATCATTAATTAATTTGGGTTAAGATTGCTTTGATATTTTCATTGTTTTAGTTTTTTTTATAATAGTAGTAGTTTAGTAGGGCTATAGTGTATTCAAGTATATATGTTTAATTATCAAATTTATTTTATCACAATTTCAACAATGACTAGTAAAAAATTGTTATTTATAAATGTTCTAGAAATTCATTTTCTTAATTAAAATTTCAAATAATTATAACAATTTTCCGTGTCACACATCAACATAACATATTTTAATTAAGTATTTTTGCCTTATCGTACACAGGTATATATGAGGCGCCGTTTGTGCCATAATTATGATTTATAAAATATAGAATTATTTGTAAAAATATAAATATTTTTTTTTTAATATAAATAATTTGTTTGAAATATATATATTTTAACTCATTTTCTTAGATATATATTAGTTTTACTAAAATATATAATATTTTAACTAAATAATATATATTTAAAACAGTAACACTAATAATATAAACTCAATACTAATAATATAAACTAAGCTTACAAGACGTAACGCTAGGAGGCGCTGGCAGCTTTATTTAACTTGTCAACGCAGCCTTTCATTTACGAGGCGTTAAAATCCGAAATGTATTCCACTTTGTGACGTCACACACTGTAAATCGGTATTATTTTTCGAGCGATAGGATTATTACAATCCCTATTAAAAATGCCCTATAGAACCCATATTGATCCAGATAAGGAAACTAATATGGATTTATATGGTTCTATATGTCCTATATGGAACGACCTGGTTTACACTTTGGAATCTATATGGTTTAATATGGAATTTTATTTTAAAATGTACAACTTAGGGATTTTTATATGGATTTATCTGGTTTCTGTTTTATGTGTCTTTCCATATAGGTTTCCCTATATGGTTGAATATGGAATTCCATTTTAAAATGTATATATATTTAAACGAAAATTGCATATTAAACCATATAGATTCCCCTATATGGATCTATATGGTAATAATTTTTTTCACACCCAAACCATATTGGGCCAGATAGAGTAATATGAACCTATATGGCAATCCATATAGAAATCACTTTTCTATATGGTTTTCCAGGTATGGAATTCTATCTGGTTCAATAGTGCAATGCCTGTTTCAAATTCCTATATTGAACCAGATAGAACCCCACACAGAACACGCTATCCAATGGATATCCAATGGCTATCCCAATGTCCATATAACATCCATGCCTTTTACGATATCCATTGGATATCCAATGGATATCCATACTGGATGTTCAAAAAAAAAACAAAAACATTAAAAATATTTTTTTCTTTTTTAAAATAGCCCCTTATAGGATAAATTTATGTAATGATTAATAAATATGATTTAAATCGTTATTAACCCAATTTCAACAAAGTATCTCTAATATATATCCAATGGATAACTAATGTATGTCCAAAGTATATCCACTGTACATCTAATGTATATCCACTGGATATCCACTGGATATCCGATGGATATCCATACTGGATGTTCAAAAAAAACCAAAAACATTAAAAATATTTTTTTCTTTTTTAAAATAGCCCCTTATAGGATAAATTTATGTAATGATTAATAAATATGATTTAAATCGTTATTAACCCAATTTTAACAAAGTATCTCTAATATATATCCAATGGATAACTAATGTATGTCCAAAGTATATCCACTGTACATCTAATGTATATCCACTGGATATCCACTGGATATCCAATGGATATCCATACTGGATGTTCAAAAAAAAAACAAAAACATTAAAAATATTTTTTTCTTTTTTAAAATAGCCCCTTATAGGATAAATTTATGTAATGATTAATAAATATGATTTAAATCGTTATTAACCCAATTTCAACAAAGTATCTCTAATATATATCCAATGGATAACTAATGTATGTCCAAAGTATATCCACTGTACATCTAATGTATATCCACTGGATATCCACTGGATATCCGATGGATATCCATACTGGATGTTCAAAAAAAAACAAAAACATTAAAAATATTTTTTTCTTTTTTAAAATA